AAGCACTCAGAAAAATAAAACATTTGGACAGTTTTTGTATAATTTATCTACTGAAAGGAAAAGAAATTATAAATCAATAATCGAAAAAAATCAGCTTACAGAAGGAATGATCGCATTTCAACCAAATTTGACACCCTCTAGAGTCTACCATTAGTGTTGTCTAGAAGTTTCATGACCACGGATCCCTAAACAGAACGGAAAATCGATAAAACCCCAAAACAGATACGCTCAGGTTGCGCCTGTACCACATGTCGGTTTTTAGCAAAAACCGACTGCATTTATGAGGAGGCCAATTTGAGTCAACACGTAAAGTTTCAACTCTAAGCAACCCACAGAGTGCAAATCGACAATCGGTCAACGCTTAAAAATATTTTTCCGGTTGGGTATTTCCTAAATGCGGAGTATTTTAAGGTCACACAATGCGCAGGAAGAAGCAGGTCAGTGCGTGCAGTAGAGTGGATGAAAACATTTGACCTAAAATTCTGGAGTGAGTGTAGGGCCATTGAAATTCAGCTTTTTTATCCTTGCTACCAGGTCTGACTTTAAGCCACAAATGACATATTCGACTTTGTCAACACTTGCTTTAATCGTCGCATCTTATAAAAATAAGCACTTTCTTTTATTCACGTCTTTACTGAAAAAAAAAAACCCGCATATGTGCTGAGTGAAAATGGTTCCGTCCTCAGCAGTCCATTTTCCAATTCTTTAAACCTTTTCCCCTAGCCCAGGCCGCATCCAAGACCTGACGAGGAGTTTTTGCACTAAAACAGCAGGGCTTCCTCCCAATTTATTTCAAAGCTAATGCCAGCAAACTGTTAGTGGCTTTTCGTTGTTGCACAAACCAAACGAGCAAATGCTTCATTGCAGCTCCCTGCATTCTCATCGCCGGCATCACATGCGTTAGTGCCAAGATGCATATGAAGCAGGCAGCTTCACCCCGTTTACGGCCAAGCCTTGCGCTTGCCAAATTATGCGCGCGTGTGTGAATGCACGCTAGCATCTTCCATTTTTCGTGAGCTCATTCATTGGTCTAAGTCATGGCCATTGTCCAGGCTAGAACAATCAATGACAAGTCACGCTCCCTTTAAATACATTCAGTGCGGCTGCATCCGCACTCACGTCTTGATATAATTGCCATTAACGCATATGTCCTTGGATTAATTGAGAGTTTCCTGCTACCGCAAGTTACCTATTTGCTTAAACATTTGCATTACCCATTTTATCTCTGAGTGCTGCCTTTACTGTGCAGCCCAGTCCATCTTAGCCTTCCATAACTATTTCTACCTTTTCGTAATTCAGTTTCACTATTAGACAGTTAACTGCTGTCGCAAGTTACTTCTCTTCTGCCTTTACTACGCGGCCCAGTACACCTCAGTGTTTCACTACATTTTAACCTTCAACGTTTTGTTTGTGTAACCTTTTCCTAGAGACAATTTCTTGCTGCCAGAAAGCACGGCCCATAGCTTGGAGAAGCTTTTTCCATATTGCTCCACTGCATTTTTAGTTTCCGTATACAACGAGGTTGCACCGCTTCAGCTTCGGAATCAAATTCTATTCGCATTCTTACACAGCATTTCTACAACCCTTGAAATAGCTCCTACACGATGAACATCAGCACGTCGGCAACTGAAGAACCCTAATACCGTTAACGTTACACACGCAGAACAGGCGACTGCGGAGGAGCACATAATAACTCCGGTATGATCATATAGCGTCTACTTCAAACTCTGCTTTGCACTTTTCTGTGTGCCGTGGCGATGAACAACAGCTCTGCAAAGGCTGCAAAAACACCCAGACGACACAAACTTAGCAGGCATTCTAAAAAAGCCTCACCGGCTAAGGGGAAACAGGAGCAGGATTCCATTGAGTACACCTCCTTGGGAGAGAAGCGGATGGCGTCTACATAAACCTCTGCTTTGCACTCTTCTGAGTGCCATGGCGATGACCCACCCAGCAGCTTTGCTAAGCTTGCCAAAATACCATGGTGAAGCAACCTTAGCAGGCGTTCTAAAAAGCCTCTGCAGCAAAGAGTAAGCGGGAAGAGGAAACTGAGGTAGAGGCCTCTTTGAGGCTTTCCAGTCAATCTCAACAGAGGCAGTATATTTTGTCACATGAAATGCTTGGTGAGCGTAACTCCCGTTTGTACTGCAAATCAGTTTACACATATTCGTTGAAAAGTAAAAGGAAACTACCTAAACGCTTGCAAGACAACAAAAAAGCGGCTTCATCACAAGCGCTTTTGCGGTCTCGACAGAGCCCGCATCGAAAAGCTACTCGCAATGCAGCTGAATTCGACGGTCCCAGGAGACCACGACTGAGAAAACCTCATGTAACGCAGCGTAAGCTTCGGCAACGTCCATTCGACAGTCCCAGGAATCCATGGCACAGAAATCTGCATGCCATGCAGCCGATGCCGCTGTAACTTCTACTGCAAGGGCGTCGGAAAGTTCCACACACAAGGCGGCAACGCGATGCAATTTCAACTTCCACTGCTAGAGCTGTAGAACGACCTACTGAAAGGCTTGAAAGGTTGCAGACTGTTAACCAGCACCGCCATGCACAGTTTTGGTTTAAGCTGGCGTTCAACTGAGCGAGTTTTGAGGCTTTCCGGTCGCAAAGACCTCCAAATAGGAACCATGTCAGTTGTCTGTGGGCATTGCAATGCCAAAAAAATGGCCTGGAGAGTCTGCAGGTTTGTGTTGTTCAGACAGTATGGTACAGTTGCCACCTTTTCATGAGCTACCTGCTCCGTTGAAAGCTCTGTTGGAGGGTTCCAGTCCAGACTCCAAACATTTCCTCACAGAAATCAGACAGTGAAAAGGAAAAATGGAATGGAGTTTGCTGAGGACAGGCTTTTTGTGAGGGTGAATAAAGGAACACATCACTGCGCCTGCCGACACGAGAGCAGTCTGCGTAAAATTGGCCGTATGAGAAGCACTGCTCCTCTAAGTGTACACCAGTGACAGACAGTGTTTGTCCTTTGGCCTTATTAATTGTCATAGCAAAACAGGGCTTGAATGGGAATGGGGATCTTCTGAAAGTGAAGGGTACATCGGCATCGGATGGATACAAATACATCTTTGGGATAAGCACTTGCTCCTCTTTACTGCATTACTGGGAAGCATTGAACTCATCGCCAACTAATGTATCAAGCATCAATTGTCTCTCCTCACATCCCTATACCTTATGTACAGAAATGAATGTCCCCGACCAGATTATAGGCCCTTTCAAAAATGTGTGCGAGACCCCTTCATGCAGCAAAAAATCGATAAAAAGCTCCGGTTCGACCCTGCCATCAGCTGTCAGTTTTTGACTTCTTTTCACGCCCAGGCTGCAATTAACATCAAATGTCGATTCAAATTCCGACATCTACGGCGTCAATTCATAATGGAGACAGATTTTCAACTTGGACTCGGGCTTTCAAAAAATTGGCAAAGCGGCTGGTACTCCAGTATTTGGGCGGATTACATTCTAAAATTTTGGGCGTTCTTTACAATTCAACCAGAAATTCCTATGCGGCCCAGTTAGAGGTGCCTTGCATAGAATGCCGTGTGATCCCATCGTGACTCGAAAATCGATACAAACCTCCGTGTTGACCATGCCCTCAGCAGTCCATTTCCCTCTTCTTTAAACTTTGTTCTTTCTCCCAGGCCGCATCCCAGATCCGATTTTTCAATTTACGTCATTGTGTTATGCTGGAGCAGGATTTTTTATTTGGGACTCAAACTTTGTAAAAAAAAATGATTAACTCATAGGTGATACGGATTTTGTGGGTTTTAAGTTGAATGTCTCGCCTGCACTACGCGGCCCAGTACATCTAAGCTTTTCACCTCATTTTGTACTCTGTTCAGTTGACTTCGCGTTGTTAAACACTTTTGAGCTCTTTCTATTTGAACATAAAATCGGATCAATGTATGGTTTCCAAAGTACCTGTTTAACAAAACAGTGCAACAACAATCCCGCCCAAGTAGTATGACCAGTCTCAATATTTCAGGAAACTGGGTTGTGTTTGAAAAAGTATTTGTTGTTAACATTATTTTTTCATTCGGTTTTTCCAGTTACAAGTCTTTTTTTAAAGCAGATCGTTTTCTGTTCATTTTGTTTAGTTCTTTTTTCGTAACAGATTTAATGTTTAGTATAGAGCTTAGAAAAAATTTGCAGTGTTAGATAGGCAAGAAGTAAGGCATGTAGCAACATCAGCACTCCTTTAAAGGCAAGGAAGGGCAAAAATATATTAAGTCAAGTGATAGCAATTGCTGTATGAGTCTTACAATTTTTGAATCAAGCACAGGCAATGCTGGGCCATGCTGCTAGTATATATATATATATATATATATATATATATATATATATATATATATATATATATATATAATGTGTGTGTTCTCATTGAGTTTATGTATCTTGTTTATCAAACTTGTTGCAATGCAAAATGAGGTTGTTGCTGTGGGTCAGAGTAAAAAAGTTTGAAAAACTCTAATTTATGAGATATGTATAGGTAATGTGATTAATATTTTTCAAATAAATTTAAATATCCTACTAGGTTGGCATCTCAGTCCCACCCTCTCACTGTTGAAACTGTTAAATGTAACCGCCTCTTCTACTCCAGCAGCTTCATCTCTTGCACTTCTCAATAGTGGAACTCCCATCTTCTTAGTGGCTTCCCTGATAACTATAATCCTCAAATATAATGTCAATCGACATCTTCTGATGCCTTGATCTTGATCTCCTTCCTTCTCTTTATCCTTTCCTCAAACACCCCTCCTTATTCTTACTTTCAATCTCTGTAACTCCTTACATGCTATAGTGGCACTCCCACTTTGCTTGGGGTGATATGCTTAAAAAAAAAAAAGCTTTGTTAATGCTATGATTCATTCCTAGTTTTCAGACTTTAACAACCTGCTGACCCTCTAAGTTTAAAATATAGTTGAAAAAGTCAACTCTTACATGAATATATATTTTAATATTAAAATTCTGAATTTTCTTTTTCTTTTCTCAAGGCAGATGGTTGACTAACGATGACAAAGAAGAGAAAAAAAGATCCTGTGTTGTCACGACATCGCAGGCCAAGTGGGACCAAATCTTTAGTTAGTAGGACATGTTGTTCCTGTGGATTCATCTTAAATGCCTTAAAGATTATTGGCCTCATCCTTTTCTACTATTTCTGCTCTATCAGCTTGACCTTTTACAACAAAAAATATATAAAGGTATTGTAAATATACTTCAATAATATTGATTTAAATTTGACACATTTCTCTTACTGCTACACATTTCAAGGTAAAAGAAACACAGCTTGTAATCTTGTTTGGTTGTGTGTTCTTTTATTTTTCATTTGCTATTCTGCCTTATGGTAAAGCCTACCAAAAGTTCTGCAGTGATGTTTTTTTAATATTTTTTTTATTTGAATGTTTACCCAAAAACAAGGCCCAAGAGCCACTCAAGATAGAGCATTACTGAATGATTGTTGTATGGATTAAGAAGAGGAAGTAAGTGCAGATTATGAAGATATATAGGATGAATAATGGTTGACTCAAGACTTAAATAGGTTAAGAGTGTTGTGATCAGAAAAGCATGCACTTGGGTGTGTGTTCCACAAAGTAGTGATTATCTGGCTGTCCAGGTGAAAGTTTATTCTTTCTAATTGAATATAAAGGGAATGATGATGATTTGATCTTGTGTACATGGCATAATGGTTCCTAGCTGTAAACCTCTGAACGGATAGACCTAAAGAATGTACCTTGTCTAAACATCGCTTATGGAAATAGTAATAGTTGTGATAGGCTTGCAGTATTTCATCTGTGGGAAAGGGGATGTAGAGTTGAAAATAATTCATTGCCCACAGATCTGCATAAACGATTTTGAACTCTGTCAAGGTTGGAAAGTGTTGTATCGTCGAGGTGAATGATACACAGAGAAGAATGAGTGCTTAATATATTTATTCAGCACCTGTATCCGGTGCTAGCAGATACATGCAAAAATCACAGAGCAATAAGTTACAAACAATTAACAAGACAACTTACAAGGAATAGAGGAGGGTCAAATGTTGTATAGCCAAACGAAGTAAGATCAGTCCAAATATTAATCAGCTTAGTATCAACTTATTAATCAACTGTTAAAGTCCTTAATCATAGACTATTTAGGGCTATGAGCCAGGCCATCTGGTAGAGTGCTGAAGGAGTGCTAGTTACTCTACTCTCCCCTTTGAAATTTTATGTCCTTCTGGATGACATATTTTTGTCTTTTAGGGTCTATTTCCCTAATACTTGTTGGAATTCATTTTTGCTAACTTAATCAATTCTGTTGTTCTGGTTGAGGCATAGCTACGTCAAATATATCTTAAATCAGAAAGTGAGGATTGGGCAGCAACAGATTAGATATGGCAGCAATTTTTGGTCTGACCTGGCCTGGTTGTTGTAAAGATAGTATGGTAGGAGGTTTATGTACTTTCAAGAGCAGCACAGGGAATTGAACATTTTTGCAGCATTTTTTAGCAATGGATTTTATATAAGAATTCCACTTGAGATCTGGGGTGAACTCGAATCCCAATCGACATTCAAGACAAGGAACCTCATTAAGAGAACAATAGTTCATAAATGGCGAAAATTCAGAGTTTGCTTGATGTTAATGATGGAAAATTACTAGCTTGGTTTTGAAAGTATTGGATGTTAACCCTTTGCCTGTCCAGGCATTTTCATGCATACTATTTAAATTAGGTACCTCCACAAGATCGCTAAAAAAAGAGCATAGCATGATGAAAAAGATGCCAAACTTGGTGAAAACAAAATTTTATTGTCTAAATGTTATTAAGAGGAAAGATCAAAGTATTTTGGGGGTATTTTTTTTACATTTTTTTAATCGTTCCTAGCACATCCGAAATTTTTGTTAAAAATCTTGTTTTTATTGAGTCAGCAAAATTTGACTGATGGCAACCATTTTTTTCCATTTTATAAAAAAAATGAAAATGTCACTTTGAAATTCTTTTAAATATTAATTATCATTTTTTCAAAACTTATTTTAAGAAAATCAGAAATTATGTTTATTTAAAATATTTTGAACCAAGCTTAACTTAGCTTCTGCGCTGAAAAGATGTAATTTGAAAAAGAAACAAAGCAGGTCATAAACTTTTGTGTCACTTGAATGACATATTGATGGAGTCCATGAGGATAATTTCTTCTATGGAAGGAGAAAAGTGAAATTATTTACCTCGTTATTTTTAAGGAAAACTTTCAGCACTCTAATTTTTTTTTTTTTTACTTAGCTTTCACCTTTATGTTTATGATGCTTTATGGAAAATATATAAAGAAATTAAAATAAGACTGTTAAGAGTGAGATTAAATTTCATATTTCATAAGAAAGGTATCTAATTAATTTATAGGTACCTTTCTTATGAAATTTTATCAGAAGTGTACATAAAATACTATAATTTTATGTACATTTATTACATTTTACTATGTTATTTGTATTTCCATTCTTTTTATTATTAATTTTGATATTTCATTTATGGAAAAATCTCATAACTGAGATTAATATAAAAATAAGATCATATAAATTTCATAAGATGATACTGATACTTGTAGGTACCCTTCTCAGTTGAAATTGAAAAATCAAATTAACTTCTCCACACGTGTTTTGCAAAAGTAAAGGCCTTAACAGCGGAGAACAATGCTTAACTCAAATAACGCAACTTAATTATATTCTGGTTGGTCTTCCGTACTTTATAATTACAGCCCGATTATGAACACAAAATTACATTTCTTAATTACTGCGGATCTTCTGATTAGTCAAAATGATACAATTTACAACGTGCTAAAAAAAAGATCTATCTCATAAGGACACTTAGGAAACACGATGTGGCTTTTAACTAATTTTATAATATTTTAACAACTTAAATGTAAAAATCTATTATAATTAAAGAATTAACAAATAATAAAAATTCATTTTTCATCGAAAAATCTTTTTGCTTTTAGAAAATATTGTCCATATTCATAAAAGCAAATAAAAGCATTTGAAATTAAATAATATATTTGTTTTATTGAGTTTTGTAATTTACAATTCAGAACTGGTTTTCAGGTAGGAGGTCCAATTAAAAACAAAAAAAAAAACATGATTTGCATTCCTCAAAGCCTTGTGCTTTTAACTATTGTAATCACTAAACCTGATGCGATCGAATTTCTAGCGTTTTCATAAAATTAGTTGGGGGGGGGGTAATAAATATTAAAAAAAATATTTCTGCCATGACTTTAATAAAAAAACAATAATTTCAATCATCTGTGAATAGTTTCTGAAAGTTTCATTAACATCCGACAATTATTTTTATTTTTGAAAGATTTTCCAAATTAATGTGTGTCATACAAAAAAAAAAAACATGCTAAAAATTGTATATGTTATTTTACTAGTTCCAGTGATACAAAGAGAAATAAGGTTTTTTTAATCAAAATTTAGAATGTTCTAAAAAGAAGGAAAAATTTTTAAAAATAATTAAAATAAACTTTGATCTTTCCTCTTAATAATAGCATAAGCATTTAGACGATAAAATTTTGTTTTCATCAAGTTTGGCATCTTTTTCATCATGCTATGCTCTTTTTTTAGCGATCTCATGGAGGTACCTAATTTAAATGTTCATGCTTGTTTTCAGATTTATAATTATTGCAAGGCAATTCAGCTTATTTGGCAAATAGAATATGCTGATATATAGTGTTTCACATATTAAAAATCGTAAGTTATTTATACTATGCTCTGTGCATCATGTGATGCACAAGTTTTTATTATGTGAAACACTATATATCAGCACATTCTAGTTACTAAATAAGCTGAATTGCCTTGCAATAGTTATAAATCTGAAAACAGTCAAGCATATATGATGCATAAAATATAGACTCTTTTCTTAAGCATCCTTAGTTTTACCACTCTTTTAAAGTCATAGCTCCTATGCACAACTTATGGTGTACAGATGTGGAAATCACATGTACTGTGTATCACATATAATGTACAGGGCAAGCAAAGGGTTAAGAGTTAAAAACCAATTATCTAAGATTGGTGATCTCTATAAGTATATTCAAAATTCCTATAATATAGGAATATAATATACAATATTATAATTATAATTTATGTGATTTATATTATAATTTATATTATAATTATATAATATGTAATATTGTACAAGATGTGCTGAAAGATCTTCCAAAGATGTCTGCTCATTTGGTCACGTCTTGAAAATTACCTACAGTGCTGAAATGTACATGCTGTTTGATGTATTTGCCTAACAGTTTGCCACATTGTTTCTCCAGTTTCTTTAACTTTACCCTCACCAAAATGTTTTCAGCCTGACCAAGATGGGAATGACCCAAATTCATTAAATGTGTATGTTATTCCACATCTTCACTCTGCAGTTCAATATGCTTGGCATATTGTTTCTTTAACACTTGCCTGCAAAATTCTGCTGTTTGATCATTGAAAAATTGCTCTTCAGTTGCTATCACCTTTGAATCTTTTAAAAAAAAAATTCCTCCCTTTCAAACTCCTTTTAAGTATGAATGGAATAGGCAAATTGGGTCATATTTTCATACATTGATGTACACTACTTGAGGCTACCTCTGATAATTTTTAAACTGGCCCAAAAAGTTTAAATAAGAGAAGTTTATTATATATGGTTAAAAAAAAAAAAACCTAAGGCACAATTTTTTTATTATAAATTTTATTATGACAAAAAGAAAAAAATGTATTTTAGGATTAAATTTTGTCAAAATATCCCCGTTTAGCCTCAATTACTGAAGCACAAATCTTTGGCATTTGTTGCAAAAGTTTCTCAAAGTATCAGTTTGATAATTGATTCCATTCTAAATAGACATCAAAGATAATGTGGCTGTCTTTGTTTGACCAAGATATATTGACATGATCTATGCACTTAGACCAAATTTTTGAAAATATCACCTTGTCAGCTTTGGGAGTAGATGTATTCAAAAGAGAATATCTTTTCTTCACTGTTTTTCTATCAACATTTTCTTTCATCAATGCACCAAGAGAAAGTAGTATTGTCTTTTGAAGAGTCAGTCATCAAAATACCTTCATTATTTCCAAAAACTATATCTATGACCTTTAATGCTAGCCTTTAGTTCTTGAATTTCTTTGGCTGTGGAGAACCAGAATGCCACCACTACATGGACTGTTTAAACTCTGGATCAATGTTTCAAGTAAGATGGTACTCAAA